CCCGTTTTCTTTTTTAGCCCTCTGATTTCATGACAATTGACGCAAATTGTTGGTTTTCAGAACTGTTCTTGATATTTCTAAACTTACCCTGCAGGTTCCACACCTCTACTGCTCCTCCCTCTTGCCTCCCTTCCCCCAACAGTCGCTAATTCACAAGCTCCACTGGAAACCTGTATTTAAGGGACAGCCGTGAAGGTAGCGAGGAATAAAAAGGCAACCTGTCAAAATTAGGTGTTTCGGGGCTGACAACACTCTCTGCAACTAATTCTAAGTGGCTATAAAATAGCTTATTTTCTAAAATATACCTTAGTGGGTAAAATCAAGACAAAAATCACCATCAAAATTAATCCAGTTTAGCATAAAAATGATCACGCACAATTCAACAAGAAAGGGACACTTTGTGGGTCTTTTCTTTTTCTGTTGCTAAACGGAAATTCTACATAAGAATATTTTCATTTACTTGAGAAATAACAAAACCGAAGTAGTATGAACCAGAATAAAATGAGAGCAGCTGGCTCTCTGAAATTACAGAAGTAAGGAGGGCATGGGCTTTTAAACTCTTCCAAAAAGGTCAATAAGTAATTGATTTTTTTCAGTTATAGCTTAATATTTCTTGAAAATATTTCTTGAAAACTCTTTTGCAACACTATTTACCGATGTGTATCTTCCATGACTCAGAAATATGGAAGCAAGTGCCCATTAATTTGGCAGATACCTGTAAATACTGCATTACACAATTACCAGGATGTCCTCAGAAGGGTAAATGCTATTCAGCACAAATCTATTTTGCCTATACATTTGCTCACATAAATAGCAGTATATAATGAGAAATTATTGCTCATTAAAATTAGGTATGAACTTAAAAGTAGAAGAAATATATTTTAAGAGATATGCCAACTTATTTGAAACCCAATATAAATTAAGATTTCCTAACAACCAGGCTATTTCAATCACTTTCAGGCCAGAGTGGATGAAGCCTTATGTAACCAACCAGTTAATGCATACGTTCTTTCACATCGGGCACTTACACTTAAATAAACCCTTTGATCCAATCTCTGCTTCACTACAATCTCAAAAGGCCCCTAAAGTGATATTCACCCACATATGAATTTTCCTGTTAATGCAATTTGCATTTAATCTACATTTCTGCAAGGTACATTTCAGAATAAGTCTATCATAAAATTTATAAACAGTCAATAAATATTGAAAGTGGCCAGTTTAACTAAAGTATCTGTAACATCAACAGACCATCAAAACCACAAAATAATACAAATTATGTTATCAGGGATAAAAATAAAATGGAATAGACAAAGAAACATCACAACAAGTAATTTCAATAAAATCTGACCACATGCCAATCACACATTTCTGTACTGGAGTCATTCCACACTAAATTGACACACCTGAATACACAATGTGTTTTATCTTTTTTTTTTCTTTTACTAATAATATGGTCATAACAAAAAAGAACAGGGTTTAAAAGAAGGGAAAAGATTCTTATCATAAAGCTAAAAATAAATAACCAAAGGGAAATCTCTTTAAACATTCAGAAATAAATTTATACACATGAATATCAGAAATATTACGCTTGAAAGAAAAGATAATTAAACACTCACTGCCAGAACCTTTGGAGAGGGAAAAGGTAGAAAGTAAAGAAAGTAGCCATTAAAAAGGGAATAAATCATAATTCAAAAAAAATCTCTTCCTTATGCCTCTTCTTTCTGAGAAAACATTCAACACAATGTTAACAAGAAAAACGAAAAAGGGAAAGATTCTGAAATTGACACAACACTGTAAACTGACTATACTTAAATAAAACATTTTTTTTTAAAAAGGAAAGATTTTGCTTCACTCTTCCTGTAATTGTACAGGTCATTTTCATTATGTTAATAAAATTAGACACAGATGCAACTGATAATGAGAGATGTTAAACCTACATAAATTTTCATAGCTTCATAAATGTCAAACCGAGCCCTAAACTCCACCTAAAATTGACTTTACAGATTGATCCTGCATCATTCTAATAATCTTACCCTTCAGAAAATATGAACTTAACACTAAACTTTCATCATCTCGTAAGAGCTCTAATTCCACCTGAAACCATTTCCACCTTTACCTCTTTTTCAACAGTTTTACCATTAGTACTGAAGTGAAACAATGTTGAAAATCAAATTATGCAGAAATGTGCCTTCACTAATGTTAAAAGTTTATACGAGATTTATTGAATTTCAGTATTTAAAAAGCATATTGCATTAGAATGGCTAATTCGTTTTACTCAGAGCATGTATCTCAGTATCAGTAAGGTTCTTCTTGTTTTACTATTAATGAGCTTAAACCTCAAATAAAAGACAATACTATGCTATTCATAAGTTTACTATTTAATGTGATAACTAGATGTTGTGCTGGGTTGACACAACAGAAGGAATTGCCTTTCCCGGCAAAACAGTGTAAAGTGCTTTTTTTTTTTTAAAGCATTCTAAGAAAAACTACTATTAAGTGACATCTTAAAAGTCAAATTATAATTTATGCTTTTAAAAATTTTAAATAGAATGCAAGTGAAGTTTTTAGTGGATTTAATATTCCTCTATCTAAAGTCAGAAAGTCAGGAATCAATACAGCTGTGGCCTCAACATGTTGATTTATTGGCCGATTACTCAGGGTCACTGGTCATAATGTTTGGCTAGAACCATGTAACAAGTAGAGAAGAGAAAGCAACCAATTTTAGTTGTATCAGGACTGTTGTTTGCAAACAATAGGCTAATTCAATGATGGTTAAAAAAAACAGTTTCAATTTATTTGGAAGAAGCTTTGTTCTGGGTAAATCACAGTTCCCAATGTTAAGTTAATGCTGTAAGGTATAAAATGTTCAAATTTTCTCAAATGATCCTGTGTAAGTTATTATACGTTTTCATTAGGACACAAACTACTGATTCTAATTCCAAATCACACATAAGCATAAAAATAATCATTTCACTGTATACCAAAAAACCTGGAAAGATCCAACCATCACTGCTGTGCCCGCCATCATACGGCTGTGATGAGGCTGACACACTTTCTAAATGTTATCAATTACGAGAAAAGGTATTAAAGCTATCTTTAATGACTTAAAGTATGTTCATCTAAGACTTACGCTCCAGATTCCAGATTATATAGGGTTTCCTGAAAGTTCATTGTGAAGGGAAAATAAGTTCTTCTTCCATCCCCTTTTTTTAGTAAGGAAAATGAAAACAATACTATGCTGATTATCAGAACAAAATGCATTAATAATCCCCAAGCATTTCCTAAAATATATGATTTTTCTTTGTACAATTACATTTGTATAAATCAATGTAACAGTTTCCTACAGATCCCTTAATCAAATCAACTGTATGTATTCTTTTAAGACAACAGCATATTCAATCATGAATTCTACTGCCAAAAACGTGAGATTGAAAAATTTTAAAAACAGCATGTTTCTACATTTAAACATAACAGTTTATGTGATAGCATCTCAAATCTTCTTATTGAAAACATTTTAAACCTTCAATTCATAGTGACAACAATAAAAAGCTAAAGCAGTGTTCTTCTAAGCAAACGATAATCAATTAAATAATGGATTAATAGTTTACATTACATTAAGACACACATGAACAAAGGATTTTTTCTTCTTTTGATAAGAAACATCTAAGCCTTTTAAAGGAACAGAGCACAGCTTGTATTTATCTAAGTCTAATTTTTTTCCCCCAACAAGAAAAGCTTCCTAGTTAAAGAGGAAAAGAGACACCTCAGTATAAGGCTATATCTTTAACAGAAAAAATATTTTAAAGAGTTTTAAATAAAATCTTCACTGACTAGTTAATGGGAACAGTGAATATCACTAAAATTTAAGAAAAAAACTTGTAACACTTAGGTACAGATAAATCACTGTGTCTACTATGCACTTCCAAAAAAAGAAAAACCCCAAAAAACAAGAACCCCAAAAAACCAACAATCCACTGATTAATCAATCTTGTGTCTCTACAATTACATTATAAAGATGTAATTTTCCTTCACACCTAAAATGTGATACACATTCACCTGAATCGAGGATGAGGGTATTGGATAGAGAACTTAACTCCTACCAACAGAGAGAAACATCGAAATTTAGAATTTTTCCCTGGTAATTTCACTTTGACAGACCTTTTTGAGGTCAAATGGAAATGGCAATGTTCTTATAAATGACTGAGAAAAAAGAAGACAGAGACAAGTCGCACACAGCTGAGACCGAAGCTTAACAGTGTTGGCCATCAGTTACACATTTGAGAACCTGTGAGAACATTTGAAAGTAAAATCAAGCACCTTGTTGCCACCAATTCCTTCCTTAAAGAAACCAATCAGCAGACACAACCTCCCTACTTTAGGTCAGGAACCCTGTGGGCAAGTCCCAGGTCTAATACTCGGCTCAGGTACACTACTCACTGCATTACTTTAGCAACCTCAGAACTCAGATTCTTCAACAGAACGTTCAGTTTAAAGAAAAGAGCTAACGGTTAGAGCTTCTAATTTTTAACCCTTTAATCCCCTCACTTCAAAATGTAAAAATACAGCACAGCTTTTGATTATGTAAAACATTAAGAGTACTTTTCACTGTAATGTAAAGAGCATATTCTAAAACAGCTTAAATGAACACACACAATAAATACATTTCCAAACATTATACCCCCTCGAACATAGTTTTTACTGAAGATGCCTGTTAATGAGCAATATTATTTTAAATTTTGACATAAAATTTTCAGCCACTGGCCAGTGAGATATTGAATACCATGATTTCAGGGGGGGAAAAAAACCACACCTTGAAATGGTTTGGCACAGATAAATCACTTAGGCTGTCTACCACGCCTGCTTCCAAAAGACCACTTAAACTTATTCACATGAAAAAGCACATGCATCACTGGAGAACACATACAAATAAACGAGTATTTAAATCTACTAATCTGTTTTAAATGTACCATTCTCAAGAAATAGAAAAGTAGTCACCTTACCTTGAGTAGCCATTAGAAAAAACCGATCGACCTGGGAAGTTCAAAGTCCCCAAGGAAGTCAAGTTATCATCTCCAGATCCTTGGCATCTATTCCAATTTTCTGAACCAACAGGAATTGGTGGAATGACATTAAAAATAGGTTTCTGATCCTGCTGTTGAGAAAGGGATGCTGTATTCATGTCATAGTGGTACATCTGTCCCCCAGAGGTACTCACACCATGAACAGAAATGGCAGACATTTTATTACCAATTATATTTGCCCCAGAAAAGCTTGCCTGACAGTAAACTGGGCCCAGTTTCTCCTGCTTAATTACCCCAGGGGTGCAGAGTTCAATAAAATCTTCTTTTTCTGTTTTCACTTGCGGCACTGGCACACTGGTGGGGCTTGATAAGATCAGATCTCCATTATCCTTAATTTTAGGTTTAGTGTCCGGTAAAACAAGAGGCTTATAGTCCTCATTTGAGCTTCCTTCCAAAAGGAATGGGTCATCCTCTCCTGCCAAAGGAGAAAGCAAACAGTTTTCATCTATCAAGAGGTCTGAGCTCCAAGGACTCTCACTTGTTTCTTTACCTGGGGACCCAGAAGGAAACTCCAAATCCTGGAGTTTTTTCCTCCAAACATCAAAGGTGCTTTGGTCTGTGGCATACAACTTCACATTACCCCCGTTGGTGCCAGTCTGGCCCTTCGAATGATGCTGTTCTGAAGACACGTCAGAGTGAGTCTTTTGAAATTCCCTCTCTGTGGGGGCAGCAGACACAGCAGCAGCAGGTGCCGAGTTCTTGGGGTTCTCTGGAACACTGGTCGACTTATTGAGGTTCGCGATGCTTTCTTCCAGAAGCCGAAAGTCTGTCTCTCCAGAGGAAAGGCTGGTTTGGCCCTGCGGTGGGAATCCCAGGTCATTTCCCATCACTTTTGTTTCTGTCTCTCCCATATACAGTCCCATTGAGAGTGAAACTGCCTTGGACAGATCTGGCTGCTGCGCGTTGCTTCCTGAGCCTTTTGGAAAATCAACCAAAAGTCTCTGCTGCTTGGAGTCTGACTGTGAAGCGGCAGCCAGTGAGGGTGAAGATGCAGAAGCCTTCGCAGTAGCTCCTCCCCTTAGGGTTTTATAGAAGTCCACCACATTTCCCCTCTCCCGAACAAGCACACTGCTGGGGATCTCTTCTCTACTGGGGGTGCTTAAAGGTTCCTTGGGGTCCATCAGGGAATATTAGCTACAAAAAAAAAAAGGAGGGAACATAATAAGCTAGAAAGTCACATTATCTCTGTGATCCGATTAGTAAGAGCCTGTTAAATGAACCTTTTAGTTAGCTCCGAATAGAATTCAGAATAGTAGTCTATCTCCCAAAATAAAAAAAAAAAGCTGCGTCCCCTATTCCCATTCAATGTGCTGTGTCACATTTAAAAGTACAAGGCAGTCCATTTGCACAGCTGAGGACAAAACTGTATCAGCTGAGCTTCGCTATTCACCCCGCCACGCACAGAACTGTAACTCTGTTAATCACAGACATTATAACTCATTACATCTGATTATTCTAAAGGTGCAAGCTGATGTCAAAGTATTTAATTAAAAAAATAAAATTCCTGCCTCTTTTCAAGCAATCAAGGCTGTTTTGCTGTTCTTCGAATCATACACATAAAATCTGATAAAAATCATGCTAGAATTCTCTAATTATTCTCAAATTCCCCTCCTACCAGCTGGTCACACGTTCAAATCTTTTAGTACAACCTACCGGTGCACATTTTATTTCAAAAATAAACAATGATGATTTGCTCATCTTCCAACAGGCTAGGAAAAGGCTCTTATTTTTAACCCACATTTCTTACTGAACGTACCTATCAGCTGCCTGCCTTCAAATTTTGGACATACGAAATGAAATACACTGCATACAGGCTAACTAAAATTTAGATTTTAAAAAGCAGAATAGAATGTGTAGTAGATTCTCAGTGCAATTTTAACTTCTTTAAATACAACAAATAATAAAATTCTCAAAACACAACTAAATCTCAATGAAGCCACTTTTTTTTTTAAACTGCTTAAGACCCTCAGTATGAAACACTGTATCTCTAAATTAAGATTTTTCCTGACCAAACATCGAAGTACTGAAAAATAGATGGAAACAAAACCCCCAAAACTGTAAAATCGCATCCATATTAATCCAAGTAAAGTAATACCTAATAAAATACTCGGAAAAGTTTTCTCTGCGATCTAAAGCTTCACCTATCCTAATCCTGAGCCTTTTCTCAAGAGAGTTACGTTGCTGGTAGACTATTAACAATCAAGATGTTTTAAGAGGCGGGCACAGATTTTGATAAGCACACTTCCGACATTATAGTCAAAAACCCGTTCAGTGAAAGGAAACTTTTCCTGCACAGAGACTTTAAGAAGCATAAACTTCACCGGCCCTCACTGAAAGTGGGAGTGTAATGAAGGTACAGAAAGGTGGGGATCCGCACTCCAAATCTTGAGGGTAAATTGCCTCTCTCTCCGATCCTCCGCCGCGTTTATCTGATAACGATCTCTAAACACAAGGTATCAAGTGGAGACTAATGAATTTCCACGCCGCTTTGACAGCTGCCTTCAAACTCGAAACCAAAACAATACTTCCTGAAACGAAACGATCCCTCAAACGACTTTATCCCCCCGTTTAAATCGCAAATAACCCTGTCACATTAATGGGCCTTAATGAACCGTGCGCAGGAGTCTTAAGTGGCATTAGAAGGCTGCAATTATCAAGTCTACAATCTCAAAACGTCAAACCAGCGCCGGCCACAAATGGCACCACAAAACCATCACAGGTAGGGAGGGTCTTTTTCCAAAAGGGGCCCCTTCAAAACGTCAGGCGCGGAGTGATGCCAAGCGCTGAAGAACAAACCCTCTCCGGGGAGAGAAAACTGCGAGGTTAAAAGAGAAATGCGTCCAGACCTGTTGAGTTCTTTCTCCGACACGCCCACTCCTACCAGATAACGCCAGCCCTGGCCGAAGTCTCCGAGTCGCAGGCTGTCAGCCCCCCACGTGTGCACACGCACACACACTCAGACACACACACACCCCGCGCGCCCGCCGGAGAGGAGACGCACGGGAGCCTCGACACCAGCCCTGCTCGCGCTCGGGCGCGCCAGGGTGGAGTGGAAAGATTCGGGCCAGGAGAATTCAGACGCGGCCCCGCGCTCCCCAGGAAAAAAAAGGGGGCCGAGGGGTGTTTGGGAGGCCCTCTGGGAGGGAAGAGATAGGGGACTTGAGCAAATTTTAAAAAGAAGCCAAGGATTCTGCCCCGGGGAACGAGAGGCTGGGAAGCCGGGGCGGCTCGACGAGGCTACCCTCGCCGAGAGCTCAGGTTCCTCCCCCTCGGCCCGGCCGGGGGACGGCGGCCCAGGGAGAGGAAGAGGCCAGCGCTGTCACCCGCGCGCTGCCCTTTCGTCACCGTCACCCGGCCCTCGCCTTGCCCCCACCCCCACTCCCCCAGGCTAATAAAAGTTTGCAGGCTTCCGCGGCAGCCCCCGAGCTGGCCTCCGGGCCCCGGCCCGCACCTCGGGGAGCGGGCGCCCGCGCGGGCCCCAGCCCCCGGCCCTGCCCTGCCCTCCCCTTACCTCTGCCAGCGGCGCCGCTCGCCCTCCACCGTCCGCAGCGCCCACCGCAGCTGAGATAAACAACTTAGCGTGTGAAAGCAGGAGGAGCGGGAGGGAGAGATTTTTTTCTTCTAAAAAAAGGAAGTAAACAGCCGCCCCCTTCTCCACGGGGGGAAGGGAGAGCCCCTATTTAAAAAAGACTCCCATTTCCCGGCTGACAAGCCAGCCCCCAGCCCCGCGCCCGTCTCCGCGGGCCAGGGCTCCTAGGTGCGCGTCCTCCGGGCTGGCGCCCCGCCGCTCCGGCCGCTCCGGCGGCGGCGTCTCTTTCCACCCTCTAGGATCCGTCCCCGACGGGCGGGCGGTGACTCGGGCTCCAGTCACAGACTCGAGCTCGCAAAATGGAGGAGGAGGAGGAGGGGAGGCAGCGCGGACACGCGAAAGGGCCGCCCGGCCGCGGCGAGCGAGCGGGACCGAGCTGGGGGCGGGCGGAGGCGGCGCCACGGCGCGCACACACTCGCA